CACAAACACAAAAATACTCTTGGACTCGCTCAGCAGAAGCCCGGAGGTCGGGCAGAGGGTTATGTTTCATTTTAGGGGGGGGGAAATAAAAAAGGCTTAAGGGTAAGGTGGGATGGGGAGGGAGGAGAGGGCTGAGCCGCGGTGCACACCATTTCCCAGCCAGCAAAGGGCTGCCCTCTGTGCACGTATCTCCCGGCACCGGTCACATGAAAGTTCTTTGTAATGTAGTTAATAAATGGGAAAGCACTATAGGACTATGGGAGAAATAGGACGTTGTTAGTGATGCGGGGATTAGGACAACGCACGCCTTTTGACACACAATTGCCCAGTTAGGGCAGCGTTCCCCCTGCTTTAGCCAGAGCGGTACCTGCGGGAGAACAGCAGGATCCTGCTCCCCTTTGAAATCCCCAGGGATTGTACCTCCGAGCTCAATGGGAGCAGGATCGAGGCCAGAGTCAAGCGAGGGGTGATTAATGAATGTCGGTTATTCAGAGCAGAGCGGCTCCAATTAGTCCTCAGCAAGCAGTCCTGCGGCAAAGGTGGGCGCTCCCCTGCAATGATTCATACAGAGAACCCCAATACTTGCTTTGCTTTAGTGACCATTAAAACGTGCATCTATTTTTTTCTCCCCTTCAGCTGGGCAGTTGGTGTATTTCAGGCTGAAATTCAAGTGCAGCCTAAGGAAGGCTGCATTTTTTTTTATTTGCAAAGCAAGATTGCAATTTGTCATAGCGATGCCAAACTGGGAGAGAGCCTTTTTTGCCTCTCAGGTTGGGTGTGTGATGGGAATTTTCCCTTTTGCACTCAGCCTATTTCTAGGAAGGATTTCTCTTATCGCTGTTCAAACAGGGTGGTTTTTTTTTCCCTCCAAGAAAGAAGATACTTCAGGGAGGCAGCAGTGCACCCCTCGCTCTGCGCTACTCAGTTGATTCACAATACTTTTAAAATCCTAGTGCCTGCTCCTAACTTTGCCTGCGAGGAAACTTGGAGCGGCAGAGGGGCATGGGGATGAGGCTGGACCAGAAGTCGGTCCCGCTCGGGGGGCTTGGGGCTCCGCGCTCCCTCGGGGGCTGCAGCGCCGCTTTGGCGGGGGCTTTGCCGAGGAGAGGCCTCGTCCCTTCCCTTCCTTAGGGCAGGGCTCCTCCGGGAGCTCTCAGCAAGGGCAGCAGCGAAGCCTCTAAGCGACCCCCTGTGAAAAAATCTGGGCATCAGTAAAGGCTCAGCCAGGGAAGGGGAGGTGGGAGAAGAAATAAAAAGCAGCCCTGTCTTTATGAGAGGAGATAATTCTCTGCTTGGCCAATAGCAACCAGTTTACCCACAGATTACACATTAACCAGAAAATGGAACTTGAATTAACCAGAATGTGGAGCTTGAACCATTACTCAAACCCTGGTGCAACAGCAGGTCAGATGCCAAAGGGCAGGTTGGTGCCCTGGCGCTGGGGAGGGGCGAGGCGCAGCATCGGCATCAGGGACCACGGCCACCGACGCCTGTTGTCACCCACGGTGGGGCCGGGTGTCCATCCCCTCCAGAGAGACCTCAGCAGGAGCAGGTTGGCCTCCAGCAGCACCCAGTGCGCACTGACGCAGGCTCTTGTGGGTGCAGGCGCGGGGGGGGTGGGCTCAGGGCCACATCCTGACCTCGGCACACAGGGCAGCATGGGGTCCAAGCCATGGACTGGACCAAACGGGAAGAGGAACGGCAACAGGTCTTCTCCTTCCACTGCCACCAGTGCCCGGGAGGGATGACCTTACAGCTGGGAAGAAGTTGCATCAACAGCGGGTGGGGGGGAAATAAAGGGAAAAAAAAAGGGCTGAGTTTCTGAGCCTGGGTCTGGAGATAAAACCCCCATCCTGGAGGGGCTGGAGCATCCTTCGGAGAGGCCTCTGCTTCTCAAAGAAACTGGGCAGATAATCCCATTCAAAGAGCGGGAGAGGACTCTGCAAATGGACACTGGAGGCTCTCGGGGAAGGTGGCTTTAAACGAACTGGGTCGAGGGTTTGAGGAGCCTTTCGAAGTTGAAATGCCCTTTGACATGGAGAACTGCAGTGAAGAGGGGCTCAGAGACCTGAACATTTCCAGCACATTAACCTTTGGATTGATTGTTTAGGGCAAGTAACTCTCAAAAGTTGGAGGAAGTCCTTTGAATTTTTTTTTTCTCTGCTCCTCAGTTCTGGGCCTTCTAAGGCCTGTAGCAAAAAAAAAAAAAGAAAAAAAAGAAAAAAAAGACAACCACAGGGCAAACAAAAGAAGAAGGGGAGGAAAAAGCAAAGAAAAGCAAAAAAGGAGGCAGTATGGACCCAAATGGCAAGAAATCTTTCGATCTAGCGTTAAGTGGCTCTGTGACAAGCCAAGCCTGATACGGTGTCATCTCTTACTAGAGACAGGCATGCTTTGCTGGGATCAGATGATAAGAGGATGTGAAGTCTTCCCTTTCACTTCACTCCATCATAAAACAATCAAAATATAGGGCCGTATCGTGTCATCGCATTTTCAAGCAGACCTCCCCTTTGAGATCTCCTAAAACCTGGTGGGATGACCTGAGTCACTGAAACTGAGCTCATTGCAATACTGAGAAGTCAGAAGCAGCACCTGAAAGCTCACGTTTTTCATCTACCTGAAAGATAACTTGATTTCTAGTTGGCGACAATTTTCCATTTTACACGAAGCTATCCTTTTCCTTCTCCCCTCCTGAATATTATTGAGTCCAGCTCTTGTATCAGCATCACCCCTTCGCCAGGCAGCACGCTGAAGTACTGCTCTCGGAGTTATTAAACTTTAAACTACAGACTAAGAAACTGAGTACGGAATCAAAAAAATGCAGTTTATTATTGTAGATTATTCTCTCTTTTGATATAACCATAGAGTCGAGAATGAAAGAAAAGCACATAGGAACATCACACGTGGTTAGTTAGTAACTCAAGATATAAAACAATTTTGCACAGCAAAATATGTAAAAGAAAAAGTAACTGACAAGATTTTTTTATATTTATTGTGGTAAGATTTACTTTCCTTTTTTTTTTTTTTTTTTAAAAGACAGGATATCAGTCCCTGAAAATAAAATTTACTGATTATTGCCTTTAAAACTGTGGAATTTTTGAAGTTACAGAAAATCCAGTTCTGCACCACAATACAACTGTAAAAAAATCTGCATCATTTTAAAACTGTGCAGTAATGCCATCTTTATAACTGCATAAATTGTATTAGCGTTCTAAACAGGTTCGTAATTTTTTTTTGTTTTTGTATTATATGCTTGCAGGTTATATCTTAGTGCAATTCAGTCCCAAATACTTCAATTTTGGAAAAAAAAAAAAAACCCATACATTTTGAATGTAAAATACCCCTATAGATATAAACAGGGGTGCCTCCCCCTTTTAATACTTTGGTTTTCAAATACAGTCAGTGGTATAGCAAGGACTACATATACCCAACTTATATTTAAGTTGCAAGCACATGCTGCATAAACTACTTTTTAAAACAGTCCCGTTGCAAATTCTACCCCCCTTTACATCACGACAGTAAACAATTTAGTGCATCAATCTTTAAAAAAAAATCTACATCTAAACAGACCTAACTCTTTCGAATTTATCTATAACATTCCTTTATCTGTAGCATACATTTTAACTGGGCTAACAGATGACAGAAACTAGAATTAAATTATATACTAGGAACCCAGAGCATTCCACATTTGACAATGACCAAATGCAAAAGGAAAAAAAAATGGGGCAGATCACTTAAAATTAATTTTTAGACTGTTTTAGGCAACAGCATGGTTTCAATGTCCCCCCCAAGTGGGATGTGAATTTTGTTTTGAACATCTTTCCAAAGTTCTTTTTGTGTTTTTTGTATTTTTTTTTGCCACATTAGGTTATCAAAATCCATTCTGGCATGTTTTTGAGAGGGAATGCTTCAGTGCATTTAAAAGGAAGTCTGAAGTTTTGAGTAACTCAAAGCAGTTTTAGAGCAGATGCAAACTTTAATGGGGAGGAAGAGGAGGAGGAAGATCAAAGGTTGCACTTTTTTGCTTTCAACCCAAAAAAGTGATGAGGCAATAAAACAAAAGGATGAATGCCATGCCATAATAGTCTCCAAAAGTCCATTTCCAAGCAAAAGAAAAAAAAAATAATTATACCGTACATGACCAGCATGCAGGGTTTTTTATTAATATAATGTCTCTTTTTCATAGTCTTTCGAAACAGTTATAGTTCATTGTTGCTAAGACAAAATAGCAAGCGTAATGCATGAGATGAGTATGGGATTCTAATGGCAGACTAAAGTCTCACGTTTGGCAGATTAAGGCCAAAACTCACATGAACACACCGAAGGTTGATGCAGGCTTGATTTTGGCAGGTTGATCTAGGCATATCTCTAGTTTTGCACAACAACGCTAAAAACTGATGGAACTCAGCAAGCTGGAGTCTAAAAATTTCACATTGTTTTTGTACTTTTTTGTTTTTGTTTTGGGTTTTTTTTGTATTTTTTATTTTATTTTTCTTTTTGCAAAGCTCAAATCTCATATGAAGAACTCAGGATGGCAAAAAAAAAAATCTGACTTTTTTGGACACAGCAAGCTCAAAAGAAAAAAAAACCCTCATGAACTTAAAAATATATATATATATAATGTGGATGGCAGGTTTCAAAGAAGAGCAAGCTTCATATGAAGAACTGAGTTGGTGGCGAGTTGGATCTTTTAAATTTAAAAAAAAAACCACAACAGCAAGCCCCCACAAAAATAAAAAAAATAATAATAATAATAAACAGAAAAGAAACTCATGTAGAACTTTAGGTCGGCCAACACGGAGCGAACCCACCTTAAAAAGAAAAACAAAAACAAAAACAAAAACCAACCCAAAAAACAACTTTGTTTTAAAATTGTTTTGAGTTTAAAAAAAAAAAAAAGTAATACAAGGTGGCAAGCTGGGTTGTCGCTCTAGCAAAGCCCCCAACAACAACTCACACGGAGAACTTTTAGTTAAGGTGGCAAGGCTGTGGGAACTCACATGAAAAACTCTGGAGAGGAAGGGTTGTCGCTGCTGGATCCGTTTTCTCTGAAGCCATTGCTGACCAGCTTCTCGTATTTTTCCTTGTAGGCGTCCCTCTCCCGGACCAGCCTGGAGATCTCCTGCTTTAGGTGCTCCACTTGCTGCAGCAGCTGGTTCTTCTCCGACTCCAGGACGTGCCGCTGCTGGACCCTCTTGAAGCGGCAGGACTGGGCATAGCCCCTGTTTTTGAGGGTCCTCCTCTTCTGCTTCAGCCGGATCACCTCTTCCTTTCTGACGCCCCGCAGCTGCCGGTTGAGCTCCCGCACCGACATGGTCACCAGCTGCTCGTCGGAGAAG